TTTTTCAAGTTCTGATAGCCGCTACTTCGTCAAGCATACGTGTCTGGATGGAAGATCTCTATCGGAAAATTTGATGAATAAGATCCTGGAACTTCTGGGAGGTCCCAGGGTGACTGACTCGGGATTCAGGACCCATGGCATATCCCTTCTTAGAGGCCTCATAGGAAAGTCTGTGACGGTACCTCAAGCACGGCTAGTGCAGCCTCTGATCGCCCGACTGTCGCCGAGCCTTTATACCAGCAGGGTGGAGGTGGCCATTCATATTCTACGGGAACTGCGTGAAACCGGCGCGAGTCTGGCCGAGTGTGTCCGACCCCTTGTAGAAATTGCACTGTGTGAGAGGTCTCCTTACTCTCTAATGGTGGAGTCAGCTACTCTCCTTGCCTGTGATGACGTCAACTTGACACAGTTCCACGAGGGGCTCCGAATGAGGTTCATGGACCTGTACACGGAGCATTTCAGCAGTAATGATGACGTTGACGCTGCTCGTGCTAGTGGTCGTATGGCGTGTGCGGTCTTGGCTCGACTAGTGGTCCGGTCGGCTGGTGACGATGTGACTACTATGGTGGATGAAAACCTATCGGAGAGGCTTCTTGAAGTACTGCGGCAGCTGGTGTATGTCAAAAGTGAAGCAGGCATGTTGACTCCGCGGACAGTGGTGAAAATGCACATGGAGCTGTCCTGGCTTAAAGGGGAGGATCCGTTCGAAGGTCAGCTCAGTGCATGCTCCAATATAGCAGTATTCGCAATTGGTCAGATATTGTCACTCGAATGGTCTCGGAGGAAGTGGACGATAGTTCTGCAGCCGATGGCATGTCACTTGATTCGGAGTCGAGTGACCGCGAAATGGGTAGCCACTCCAGTGATGAGGCCTCGTCATCATCACAGGACTCAGAACCTCGAGCCAAACGGTAGCGCGAACCGAGTAGTTTTGTGTGTGGAAGGTTTGTTCGTAGGCTCAAGGTGGAACCTAGGAGACTACCATTAAAGCGTCCTCGACCTGTGGAGACGAGGAGTGAGGTGGCCGCATCACCAACGAGTGTCCAAAGCGCGTAAGTTGAAGCGTGACAAGGTGTCCGATCTGAGTTGTCCGTCCGTCAGGCCTTGTCTCGTTCGTCAAGGCCCTTTACTGAAGAGACACCGAACCTGCCAGCCGACAGATCGACCGCTACTTGCAACTAGCAGAATACCGCCCCAGCCCGCAGTGCCCGTACGACTCCCCGGGAGGTCTTTACTGCGAAGGCTGCCGTCGGATACGGCCCGGTCCAATGGACGACACCTTACGATAGAAGCCTAGGCAGTGTAATTCACCATAGTCACCGCACTGACGATGGCAGAGTAACATTATCATCACTCGGTCCGGCCGAGTGTGCATGACCGTCTCGATATCAATATTTTCAATACTGACGAGACTTCCCAGTAGAATCTTGTTGTGTTAGTCATTGCAGCACTGCCTGGCTCGGGAACTAGACGAGGCAAATAGTTCATCAACTGACTCTGGTTGTGAAAATATAGTTCCAACTAGGGACTCTGCTCTCTGTGGGATATGGTAAA